TTAGCTTTGTAGTAAACTACTAGAATCGCCTGCGTCGATACGCCGTTCACGCCCTTATCCGTCCGCCGCTTTCGCAATATTCGTCCGTCCAATTGTTTATTCTCTTCTATCTGCCTGTCTATCCATGCGCTCAAGATATCTTTCTTCGTCTTCTTTTCCCTCTCGAGTAAAAAAAGTCAGATAATCGTTAATTATAATCGATTATTTGGCCATGGGACGATAATCCTGTAATCAAGTGGAAATGCAACATTTATGATCTATTTTCAATCGCCGGAATCAATTGCAGTTGATTATTTTATTCATTTTAATCGATTACTTATTCGTAATTGATTATAATCGATTCCGACGATTAAAAATCGATTACAAATGTTGCATTTCCACTTGATTACAGGATTATCGTCCTGTGGCAAAATAATCTATTATAATTAACAATTATCTGATTTTTTTTCACATGGGGCAATATCGATTATTTCGTCGTTTTCGGGTGAATATGAATAGCTCCCTTGATGGCTTCACGTTCAGCTAAATTTTTCACATCATGTGATTTTTCACAGGACTCAATCGATTTTTTCATGAACTTCTGCTAGGCTAAATAATTCTTTCAGACGAATTTTCAAGGACTGGTCTCTAGAAAAAAGGTATTCTACGAAACCAAAAAAAAGGGTATCTGCATTTGTTACCAATAAGAACTAATTTTTGTCTCTTAGAACACCTTTAGGTTACGTTTACGGGTATTTCTTGCTCATACATGAAGGACATCCCAAAAGTCTTCTGTGATTTGTCCTCCGTGCTTCGCAGGTGACATAGGATAGAAGGTAGCCTCAAGTATAGCTGAAAGCACTTCCTATATCTCTCAAAAATCGGAGTCTAATTTCAAAGGGAACTCGCTCGAAAATGAGGATATTTCTTTTTTGAAAGTTCTTATATGTATTTTGCGTGTCAATGGAGTGAGCGACAGCAGAAGACGCGGGACCTAAATCGCAGTGGTCAAATCACTCAAGTCGTAAAGACAAAATTCTTCTAAAATACCTTTCCCTTTGACTTTAGTCTATGGTCTGACAAAATGGTTGTCTTTATATCTGTGCTCAAAATACGGAAAAGCGGAGAGTTTCTAATGAGAATCTGCCAGAAAAGGTACACATACGCTTTGTAACTGACCGCAGAGCGTACATGTATGCTTTGAAATTAACTGCAAAGTGTACAAAGGCATAAAGTATGCCTATTATAACAAGATAGAAAAAAAGATTGTTATTCATTGTTCTGTTTTAATATAATCAAGTTAAAATACAAAATAAAAATTGTTTTGAACGGCTTTTTCGGTGTTTTCACGTTCATTTTCAACCTAAAAGTAAACCACTTAATAGCAAGTAGTCAAATGCTATTCTTTTTATTTAAATCCTTACAAAACTCAAAGAGTATTTTTTTCCCAGAGCGTACTGTGCACACAAGAATGAGAGCGTATTTTCAATTTAGTTCGCGCACCCTACGCTTTGAAACAAAGACGTACGCGTAATGTTAGAATAACAGCTAACAGGCGTGGATATTCTGTGGATAAACCAACCATAAGGAAGAAAACATAAACGTTTTATTAACTACGAGTGAAAATATTCAAAGCGATAACCTGAAACACTTACTGACGTAGAGAAAGAATAGCTAAGCAAACTTTTTCTGTAGTCCAGAGATATATGTCGCGAGAAATGAGTTACTATGATAACACAAAAAGTCATCTACGGATAATGAAACCCACAGAATATAGACAATATATCATACCGCCAGACCTCTGTGTAGAATGGAAAGTTTTTGAATTCATCGACCCGGACTGGATTGGACTTGAACTTTCAAGAGCTGGGTGCTTCCATTTAGGTCCGCCCAGTTTATATAGACATAATGGCCGATAAAATTTCAAGAGTCTTCTCGTGTAGAGCATAAAAAGTTACATAGAATCTCGTATTTGTCCACTAAAAAAGTCATATTCTCCATGTCTTTTCAGGGATGTCAAGTTTCAACCTTCCCTTTAATAAAGCAACTTTGATCTTGTTGCTTTTTCTCTGCCTCTATAGAGCTTACACCACCGTTGGACATACCACATGAAAGAGCACTTCGAGTAGTATAAATACTAATGTTAAAAACGTGTCCTAGTACTTTTGCAATGGCAGGCCAGCTGTCACAAAATGGCCGAAAATAAAAAATTCAGTATTTCACTTTTTCTGAAGACAAAACAAAACAAAAGTTCCTGCACTATAGATAAAAATGAAGCTAAAGAGCTGATTAATCAAAAAGAATAAGATCGATATGTATCTTCCTCTTTGAGTATGCAGCCCATCTTTGATGACCCTTTTTTAAAAACAGTCAACTTTCAGGTCCCACAGCACAAAAACTATATGTGGAATTTTCTTGTTTTTCTCCCATTTATAGTACTCGTCAAGCTCTACAAAATGGCATCAAAGATATTTTTGGCCCGTTTCATTTTCATCCTGTTTTCCGGATCATAAAAGTCAAAAATATCGATTACTACTTCCAGTACTTTAGCAGGAGTTTTACTCTGATTTTGATTTCTATTGAGCGAGAAGAGGTTCTAATGCTATATCTAATTTCTGCTACATTTACATTTTTCGCAAAGTGCTTATGCTAATTGAACTCGACCAACAGAATTCGTCGAAAAACTACGCTACGAAAAATGTTCCCTATAATTATTTTTTAAGCAATTTTGATTCAGTCAAGTTAAGGATAAGTTAAATATAACATTAGAACCGCTTGTCGCTCAATAGAGGTCAAAATCAGAGTAAAACCTCCGCTAAAGTGCTAAAAGCAGTTTTGTCTGTATAAACTGGACGTAGTAAAATACGAACGAAAAAGAAATAATCTTATTTAATATTTTCAGACATATAACAAATTTGAAATACCAGACTTGGTTTTATTCCGTAGAAAAAACCATCTTGGTACTGTAAAATACCGTCGGTGGGTATATCTTGTAGTGAAAACTGGAATTCAGTCAAACCTAAGATATAATCAGTCAAAAAGTGGCATATTAATTAAAACTGAATGTAAATATAGTATTATCACGCTCTTGGTTTCTCGGCAATAGACTACAGATGTATTTCGTCGTATGATTTTTTTCTGTATTCTGTAGCTTATAGCCGATACTTATCTACTTAACCGCGTAAAAGCGGCATGTTTTGGGGGGGGGGGGATTTTGTTTTTGTTTTCCATCTCTCTTCATTAGTTAATAAGATGCTCGTAGGCCAAACTCAGAGTGAAATTTCTTTTTGACTTTATTATACATATTTCGAATCGCCTTATTGATACTCATGTATACCTTTTTGATCACTCCATACTTACTACTCTTCTTCGTCATTACAAAAAAGAATTCATTTTTGGTTTTTAAGGATCGATATTCATCTGTGAAGCGGAGTAAGATGGAAGATTATCATAAGAAGAAAAAAGTGGTGATGAAAGAAATTCATATTCAGACCGAACAAATATTGGACAAAAGTGTCCGCATCCAGACTGAGCCAACATCAGTCACGCGTGATCGACAGCAAGTAAAGAGGAAAAATGTTCGCGTTCAGACTGAGCCAACATCAGTCACGCGTGATCGACAACAAGTAAAGAGGAAAAATGTTCGCGTTCAGACTGAGCCAGAATCAATTACCTTCGACGATCAAGTGTCCAATGATCGGGGATACTTTATGAGAAGAGATGGCGAGATTCAGAGTATATCATTGCACCGGTTTGATAGACTAAATTTGAACTTGAATAGAGAAGAAACACTTGATCCAACACAAGTGGCGGTTACAATGGAGAGCTCTGATAACGCACCAGACGGTGCTATGATAAAAAATCGTCGAATCGTAGAAATAATCAATGAGGAACAAAATGCGACTTCGAACATCATGAATGATATAAAAACAGAACCCGATCCTATTGTGGGATATGCCAAAGAGCCTGTATTACCACTTTCCAAAGCATGTGCACCACTGATCCACATCATCCACAATTTATTGTTCTACGTGCAAATGGCTCTCGACAAAACTTCAGAACAGCCACCCAATGGACTAACGGTCGACGAGAGCGCTGCCATTCGCCTCTACACGAGCGAATGGAAAGGAGATCATCGAAGTCTCTATTGGATGCTCAATCGCACCCTCAAGGTAGCCAATCGCGAGAGTCTTCGTCCCTATTTCAAATATATGAAACTGCTCGTGACTGCCATCGTCAAATTACCATGCGTTTCACCATCAACCACCATCTGGCGAGGAGTACCCAAAGATATAAGCGTCGAATTTCCTCCCGGCATTCTTGTGACATGGTGGGCATTTTCATCGTGTACGACAGCATTGCCGATACTAGAGAACAACATGTATTTAGGTAATACTGGTAATCGAACATTATTCTCCATCAATGCCATCAATGGTCGATTAGTACATGCTCATTCAGATTTCGCTACTGAAGATGAGGTTCTGCTCTTGCCCGGCACTCAAATGATAGTTCAGTCACAATTCAGTCCAGCATGTGATCTTCACATCATTGATTTGAAACAGTTCATACCAGAGCAAGTGCTTCTACAACCGCCATTCCCAGGTATTTCGTACATTTTCAGTCACTTATTTCAAAGTCAAGTCTTTCTTTACTTAGGTGCATCTCTCTACCCGAAAAATAAGTAAGTCTAACCATATTTTCCGAAAGTAGTGTTTCTGATGGAGATTTTCATTACATTTACAAGACGTTTCTGGTATCACAAGAAGAGATCCATCATTTCGATCTCTTTATCGATTTTGTTCATCCAAGCAATCATTCTTGGCTTTTCTTTGGGACTTAAATCTAAACCAAAAGGTAAGACTTTTAATATTCTTTCTTTTTCTTCTTTTTCAGCCAATGGAGAGCGATAGTTTGTTCTGAAAGAGCTGACTGCTTCAATGTACATGCAATCCAAGTCAATTAAACTGCCAGATCATAAGAAGGATGTTATCTTTGCATCTTCTCCTTTTCTTCGCCAGACCTTTCTCAAATGTATTGTCATTTCAAACAAAACATTCATAAATCTCAAGCCAAGAAAGAAACATCGATAAAACATGTCATTTACTGCCCGTGAAAACTGATTCTTCACGCCAGAAGACACTTTCTTGTATAATATATTCATAGATGTGAACCCACTCGCGACGATGTGATCCAGCGTGGGCCACATCGGCTCTAATCTGTTGGATCGAATCGGCTTCCATGTGTCCCATTCTTTTT